CCTCGGAGGCACGGCCACTGCTGGGCTGCACACCGGCCCCAGGCTGATGTCCAAACACGCCTGGTGCCCCCGCCCAGCGAGGACCAGAGTGTGCTGCCTAAAGAAGCTGGGCCCTCAGGCTTCAAGACCACAGATGCTGGTTTTGACTTGGCTGATCCTAGAGCCTGCCCAAAGCCCTCCTGCCGCGGGAGGCCACCCCTGGGGAGGGGATGAGCCAAGGCTGCTCCTCTACCAAGGGAGGGCCCTACGCTGAGTTATCTGGGGCCGGACAGCACCTCACTGTCCCCAGGAGGGAGGTAGGCCTGAGCCCCTCAGAGCTGAGCTGAGCCTCACCTGAGCCCCTCAGAGCTGAGCTGCTTCTCAGAGGTGCCAAGTGGGCAGGCGGATGCCCAGGCCTGCGGTGGAGACCGGCCAGGGCGGCCAGCAACAGGGACAGCGGCCTCAGCTCCAGAGGTCACCCCAGCACCTGCCCCCGTCCCCAAGGAGGAGTCCAGCATCTGCAGAAAAGCAGCATGCCTCAAGAACGCACAGGAGTCCAGTTCCATCAGCTCTGGTTTTATTGAAAAACAGCAGCACTGGGGGCCGTGCGGGCAGACCCACGGCACTGTCCCCCCCCCCCCCGCCCCCACTGCTCACACACCCACAGGAAGCCTGGGACCCCCACCTGCCCCTGGCCCTGCAGCCTGTCTCCCTTGCCCCTCCGGACCCTCCCGAGGGCTGTTCTGGCACATCCTGGGGTCTCAGGACAGTTGCCGCAATTGTGGGGTCATCAACAGTAAGGAAGTGAACCACAGGAAGTGAACCCAGCCACCATGACATGATCTGGGCTCTGCTCGCCCTAAGACACGGTGTCCGCAGTGGCTGTGGTCAAACAGCCTAACCAAGGTGACTCCGTGTCATCAAATCTGATCTTGGCTGGTCTGGCTGAGCGTCCACCCCTGCCATCCTCCCCGGAGACCCAGGCAAAGGCTTATCCCGGGTACCCCTGCTTCACACAGGCCTGTCCAGTGCCATCTGCCAGGGGGGGAAGGAGCACTACATTCAAGGTCCACTGGGCCCTGGGGCAGGCCTGGGAGAAGGAAGCACAGCACCGAGCCAGGGCGCCTGTGTCTCAGCGTGGGGCTGAGTGCCAGCCCACGCAGCCTGCAGCAGAAGGTCCCCTCCCTGTCACCACACACTTACACACGTGCACACATGTGCAGGTACACACAGGCACAGGCATGCACGTGTATGCACACGCACACACAGGCACGCACACACACAGACACACCCCTTCTTCAAAACGGCTAATTATTGCTGTTAAAAAAAAAAAAAAATACATCCAACAATGGCAGGTCGGGCCCCTTCTCCTCCACCCCGGGCCCTGGGCGGCCCCGCTCTCGGCACCAAAGGGCAAACATTCCAGGATCTGCCCCACACCCAGCCCACAACACAAGCCCCGAAAGCCTCAGCCAAAGGCCCACCAGCACAGGAACACTGGCCGTGGCCAAAACAGTCAGGACCCATGCTGCCCACCTGCCGGGAGGGGGGCTGGGCTGTCAGCCGTTCCCTGGACGCAGACAGGTATGGAGGGTGGCTCCATAGGAGCTCAGCCCGACCTGGCCCCAGCCCAGCGAGGGCCCAGGCTCTAGGCCACATGGGGCCGGCCATGGCAGGCACTCACACTGCGTGACTCCCCGTGGCCCAGAGAGCTTCCCCAGCACTTGCCAGATTCCCAAGGAAGCCATCTGAGGAGCAGCCCCCAGCCTGTCCCCTGGAAAGGCCTTCTCTGAGGAAGGACACACCCAGGGCAGGACGGGGGCTGCCTGAGGACCTCATGGCCTCAGCCCAGCTGTAGGGCCTCCCAGTTCAAGCCTTCTCCCAGGGCTGTCCCCGCTTCCCTGAGGCAGGCTGGCCCATCTCTCTGTCCCATCCACCCAAGGGCAGCAGTGGGAAGCCAGGCTGGACGTGGGTATGGGGGAAAGGGGACAGATGTCACCATGAGCCTCCACACGGCTGGCCGCCTCAGCACCGCAGACAACTCAGTGTGGCCACCACCCTCAGGGGCCAGCCTCTCTGAAGACCCCATACCTGGGGGACGCTGGTGGTGCTGGGCCATCCGGAGGGGCTAGAGTTCTCAGCCGTCCTGCATCCCACCGCCCCGAGCTGCCCACTGGGTTTGTGTTCCAGGCTCATCTAACAGAGACAGTCTGGAACACCCCACCTCCTGCTTGCCCATCCAAAAACAGAGGCTTCCAAAAGTCCTGGGAGCCCTGTCTCCTGAACATGGGCGCCACACCTGGGGGCCGGCTTTCCCGGGGCCTCGACAGGAGCCACTGAGGGAGGCCCAGGAGGCCAGCAGGGAGGGGGAGGGGGCCCAGGGCCTGACAACGCCAAGAGCCGCCCAGATACACCACTGAGCAGAGCCCCAGGTGGACGCTTCACAGAGGTAGAAGTAACATCAGGATTTCTACAAATGTATAAAATTCATATCTTGGTGCGTGTTTGTGGAGGAGTTAGTTCCCAGGCTGGAGGGAAGTGGCCAGCCAGGGACAGGCGTTCCCCATGAGTGTGCCCAGCCTCCGGCCCAGGGGAAGGATGGGGGATCTGCTCCCCCAGTGATCTCAGGGGCTGCCAAGCCGCGCACGGGCCAAGCGAAGGCCCTGTCCCAAGTACAGGGCACAGCCAGCTGGTACCTTTGGCCACCACCGCGGTGGGGCTAGGGAAGACACTGCAGCCCACCCAGCCCACAGATCCTACACTAACAGACAGACGCCAGCAGGACAGGAAAGGGCCACGCGTCTGCCCAGGAGCAAGCCTGGTGACACGCTTTGGCCAACGTCCCCCAGATGCTGGCAGCTCCAGAGCCCCGGCTCTGCCGCAGCCCCAGTGGGCTCCAACGGCCCCCACCCACACGTCCCCACACCAGGGACCCAAGGCTCCAAAGGCACAGGATCAATGGAAGCTGGCAGCATCCCCAAGCTACCACTGACAAGACACAGCCCACCATGCTGGGCCCGCATGGCGCCCACCCGCCCTTCCTGCCCCTCCAGGCCTCAGACCAGCCACAGCCCCCAACACGCCCCACACCAACTAAGGCCACCCCAAGCCAAAACCAAACCAAACAAAAAGAGGAAAAAGGCACAACTGTTTGTTTTCCATTTTGCTAAAACACTTTACGTCTGTCTGTATAATCCAGATTAACAAAATCTGAGAGCTGCAAGAAAATAGGGTGCCGATTTCTGTACAGTCTACAAAACTCCCATCCCCAAGCAGGGACCGGACGCCACCAGGGAGAAATGTACAGGGGAGAGCGGGATCTATACAATGTTCTGCAAATATCTCAATTGCTGACAGCACGAAAGGCCCCTCAGGAAACTGGGCTTGCTTCGCGCGTTTGCTAGTTTCCGAAGCACCTTTCTAAGAACGTCCCGTCTGTGTCCCCTAGACGGGACCCAGCTCCATGGCCCACCGTGCCTGCCACTCCCCCTCTCCCAGCTCCCGAAATAGAGGGGCCTCGGTGGGCATTTAGGGCCCTCCTGCCACCATGGCCGGGTCCAGGCTTACAAGCTGGACACGTGAGCACTGCCAACGACCCCTTTCCTCCCCCCTGTCCAGGCCACCTCACACCTGACCGCCGTCTCCCTCCTCAGGAGGGAGAGGCTGGGAGCACGGCCAGGCTGCCCCCCCTCCCAGCCAAGCTGGACAGCACTCGCCCTCCCAAAGGCAGCAGGGAATGCGCTGCCATCCTGACCTCAGCCCCACAAGTCAAGGCTGGACAGGGGCAGCCCAGGGCCTCCTCACAAACCAGGAATGCTCTTTTGAGGGAAAGAATGTTAAATCAAGGTCTCCCTTCAGATTTCAAAATCTGAAACCCTCCACCCACCCAGCCACCCGCCCCCACAAAACTGGGCCAGAAATAGTGCATATTCTAGACCACACAGGTGTGTGTGTGTGTGCGTGTGTGTGTGTTAGGTATAAACTACCATTTTGTCCCAAGAATTAAAGTCATGCAGAGTGCTATTCTGTCTAAATAACTTATTAAAAAATAGGTCGGTTTCAGGCTGGGAGAAGCTGTGGGCTCAGTGGTGTTGGCAGCGGCCTGGCTTAGTAAGATTCACAGGGCACAGCCCATCAGCCGTGAGGCAGAGCGGTCCTCGGGGAGGTCTGGGAAAGGCCACTGTAACCTAGCTGGCCCTGGGGAGAGGTGACTGCGTGACTGCCTCCCCACCCTGCTCTCCTGAAGGACCCTGACCAGGCTGTGCAACAGGTTGCTACGGGAACCACACCTGGGTGACGATGCCAATCAGCAAAGCCGGGGCAGGGGAGGGGCAGGGACCGAAAGGAAAGAAATGGGACTCGGTGTCAAAGCAAAGCTGGGCCGGGGGTGGGGGGGGCAGCGAGGGGTGGTGAGAGGCAGGTGAGCCCTCCCGAGAGCAGGTGGGCTGCCGTGGCTAGCTGGCAGGTCGGGCAGGGGGCGCTCACCTGTCTAGGCCCAGTCTGAGCAGGGCAGCGGGGCAGGAGGCCGTGGGCATGCGGCAGCCAGGCCATGTCCTCAGCATGCACAGAGCAAAGCGGGGCCCGTGGCCAGCTCGGTGCCCCACGGGGCGGTGGCCGGCCAGCCCAGCAGGCCACGCCTCCCGGGGCCTGGCTACCAAGCCCCAGCCTGGCTGGCGGCCAGGGGTCCGCCGGGGCAGGGGCCGCGCCGCAGAGGCTCTGTGCTCGGTGGGCCGGGCTGAGCAGGCACGTGGGCACGCGGCGGTCCATGCTGTCGCTCCTCAGGACGCGGCCCCGGCAGGCTGGGGAGGCGGGGGGCCGTGGCTGCAAACAACCAAGCCCCAAAGTGTCACAGATGAGCAACAGCCCCACACCCCCTGGAGGACCAGCCAGAGAACCGCGTGACGGTGGAAAGGAAAAATCCAACGCAAACGCCAAGGTGAGCGTCTGAAAGCGGGCCCGGGCGGTGGGCAGGCGGGCACAGGCGGCCGGGGCGGCCGGGGCGGCGGGCGGGCGGGCGGCGGTCACTCCTCGCGCAGCTGCAGGCGGTAGCGGTGGTAGCGGACCTGGAAGAAGAGGCGCTCGGCCAGCGACAGGGTCATGCCGGGCAGCACGTAGTGGTCACTGGAGCCCATGTGTCTGAAGCCCAGCGACTCGTAGAGCTTGTGGGCGGCCACCTTGACGGCTGTCGTGCCCAGCACCACCGCAGAGTAGTTGTGCACCAGAGCGAACTCCAGCACCTTGCGGCCCAGCGCCTTGGCGATGCCCTTGCCACGGAAACGCGAGTCCACGGACATGCGCAGCAGCTCCACCGTGTTGTCTGCCTCGTGGGCCCGCGCCGCCACGATGCCCACCACGTTGCCATCCAGCACGGCCACCCAGAAGCAGGACCCTGCAGGGACAGGGCAATCAGAGCCGCAGCCTGACGCAGCCGCCCCTCTAGGGCCCTCGGAGCAGAAAGAGCCGGGCCCAACCTGTCTGCCGCCCACGGCCGCCCCTGCCCTGGGCCTGAGGCTGGGCCGACAAGAGTTCTGGGGCCACACGCCCTCCCCCAGGGACCAAGAGCTGGGCAGGCCTCAGCCAAACAGACCCCTCCACTGCCCAGCTACCCCCTGAACTGATGCCTGGATGGCCGTGGATGGCCACGGAGAGGCCGCAAGTGCAGCCGACCTGCCTGGGCTCCCAGCCACTTGGGGCCCACCACACTTATCCCCCCGTGTAGCCAGGGAGCTGGAGAGAGACAAGTGCCCTGAGGGGACCTCCGGAAGGACCCCTACGATGGGGACTTTGGCGGGTCTGGGCGGACAGGCCAGGACAGCAGGGCCCCTCTGGGAGCCATGCCCCTGGGGCCTTAGGAGGGCCTGTGGCCTCCACTCTCCTAGGTCAGGAGCTGCTGAGCCTGGGGGCCCCATGGCCTGCGTGATCAGGACACAGAAGCAGGCCCTTGGCAGGTTTGGGGGACAGTCCAAGTGGACAATCAGGACGGATGGGCACCAATGCACGCCTCCCACTGACCCTGGCCTCTCTTGGGCAGGAGCCCAGTGGCCAGGCCAGCCGTCCCCGCCCCCGGCCTGGACCAATCACAGCCCCATGCAGGGCAGGAAAAGGGAGAGGAGGGCCAAAGGGGGGGTCAGGAGAGAAGCAAGGAGAGAGAGAATGAACACGGGAGGGGAGGCCTGCAGGGCAGGAGAGCCTGGTCACCTCTGCTGACCACCGGCCCAGAGGCCCCAGGGGGCAGGGGCTGGCCAACAGGGGTGCCCACTCTGAGGAGCCCCACCTGCACGCGCCCTGCCCATGGCCACTCCAGCCCCCGTGGCCGAGTCTGCCACCAGCACCACCCCCCGCCACCTCCTCTCCTTCAGTGGCCAAACTCTCCCCCGTAAAGGGTCTGCACCTGACCCTGCCCAGAGATCTTACCCTCCACCCAACCTCCAAGGGTCCCCCACTGTCTTGTCTGCCGGCAGGTCCCCCATCAGCTCAGCAAGACGGCCTCCTGTCTCATTCACCGCCGTACCCTGAGACCTAGCATGCAGCCGAGCTCGGCAATGGCTGAGGGCCTGCTGCCCTGAGGCACTGCCCCACTAGCTGGCCTGCCCACCATCCAGGGCTTCTGGCTCCCCCCACACAGCCAGGCCAGACCAACTCTTCCCATTCCCTGAGCAGCATGGCTCCATCAGCTGTGGCCCAGCCTCCCTGCCCCAGTGGCACCTTCCTGCAACCTACCAAACGCCTCAGGACAGCAAGCAGGAGCCCTCCCCCCATTCGCACCCAGGGAGACTGCAGCCCAGAAAGAGCAGGGTCCTTGTGCCACCCCGGGCTCCCAACCTGAGCCCCCTTCTGCTCCTGCAGCCTGGACCTGGGCGCCAGCTAGGCGGGTCTCACACTTGCGCTCCCTCCCGTCCCGGGCAACTCCATGGAGGCCGATGAAAAGCTGAGCTCAAGCTTAGGAGAGGGTCAAGGAGGACCCAAGGTGCCAAAGGCTGGCCAGCTGCAGGGGTGGGGATGGGGGTGGAGGCAGGGCAGCACAGGGTGGGCCGGCTCGGGGGGGGCACCCTTGTGCTGGGATGCCTTGCCTCTCTTATCCCCTGTTGCCCTTCCCTGGCCCTCACCAGGCTCCTCTCTGCCCTCACCAACTCTTGGGGCCCACACTGTCCCGTCTCCTCAGCCTGGGAACCCTCCCGCACCTGGGAGACCCTCACACCCCAGAGGGCAGAGACAAAGGCCCCCTTCTCTGACCCTGGACATGAGGAAAACCATGTGGTCCTGCCTCCTAGGACCTAGCCTGCCTCTGGGTCAGCCTGGAGGACCAGAACAGCCCCCAGGGAGCTGCAGGCCCCTCCAGACCAGACCCCGTCCCTCCTCGTACAGAAGGCCAGGGGGCTGGGGAGAGACCCTCTGCCTCACTAAATGGCCCAGAGACCAGAAATGGAGGCCAAGACTCAACACCCTGCTCTTCCGGGGCTCCCAGGCCTCGAAGACTCCCACCCAGAACCCTCTCCCCACCAGGAGACCCTCTGCCCCTGCCACACCAGGTCCCTGGCACTCCAGGCCAGCCTGAGACCAAGCAAAGCACAGCAGACCCCCAGCCTCTCAGCAAACACCAGGGAAAGGGCATCGTGCAGGCTGCACGGAGAGCAGAGCCGGGACACCGGGGCCCAGGGCTAGCTCAGGACGCTCAGCACCCTGCCCTCACGGGATGCAGGACAGAGGCCCAGGGTCTGTGTGGACACTCGGGGGCCTTGCTTCAGCACCAGGGACCTAGCTCTGCCGCCCTCAGCCCCTGCCGGCCTGCTGCACTCCCAACCCCTGGCCAGAGCCCTCCGTGACTCTGAAGGCTTGGTCATGGGGGTGAAGCAGCCCGGGCCCACCTAGGCGTGGCCGTCCCCCTGGGGCCTGTCTGTCCTGAGGTGCTTGGGGTATGGGTGGCCCTGCCAGCAGTAGGGGCTGTGAGAGGGTGCGAGGAGCAAAGGGAGGGGGGAGGAAGAGGTTGGAGCCGCAGACTCACCGGGGGGCTTCATGTAGTACTGCTCGATGTCCGCCATGTCCGTGTGCAGAGCGCAGTCCAGGTAGGCGAGGACCACCTTCCGGCTGTAGTAATAACGCAGGCCCAGCAGCCCGGCCAGCACCAGGCACGTCACCATCAGCGAGCGGGTCAGGGCAAAACACAGCACTGCAGGGAGAGGTGGGCCTGGTGAGCAGCGGCCGAGCAGAGCCCCTGAGACACCCGCCAGGTGGACAAGGGCCCCAGCAGGCTGGGAGACCCCCCACCAGCTCCCTGCTAAATAAGCCAGTCGGGCACATGCGCAGAGGAGAGACCACGCCAAATGTGTCACGACTGTTTTTCCTGGAGGAGCGGTGGGTCAGCCTACCTGCTCCTTCCACTTTTTCCTCGTTACCAAACTTCCTACCATAAGGACATGCAGCTTGGTAGCCTGACATCACAGGATTTCTAACTGTTCTGAGCACAGCAGTGGCCTCTGGGCAGGCCGCCCTCAATGGCTGGCAGCAACAGCCCCAGGCAGGGTTCCTTGGCGGGG